ACGCGAATACAGGGCTGAGACACAGCCCGCTCAGCCCCGCCCTCACTGGCCATCGTGGGCCGGGCGTGCCCTCTGCGTGGCCAGGGTGGCGGCTGAGACCAGCCAGTCAATGCCCAGAGGCTGACCTGGCCCATCCTCATGCGAGTGTCCAAGGGCGGCCCAGCCACGGATAGATTGCGGGGACTTCAGTCCTGGCTGGTGCTCAGTGGTCAGAGCGTCGGCCTGCGGACTGAAGGGTCCCGGGTTCGATTCCCGTCAAGGACACGGACCTCGGTTGCAGCCTCCACAGCCCAGGCCCTGGTTGGGGTGCGTGCAGGGGGGCAACCAATCGACATGTTTCTCTCACATGGATGCTTCTCTCTGTCTCTCCCCTCCCTCCCACTCTCCCTAAAAACCAATAGAAAAATATCCTCGGCTGAGGATTCACAAACAGAAACCAAACCAAAGGAGAAAGTGGGGAACTTAAAACAGCAGAAATGTGCTGTCTTTCTTGGGGGGCAGCTCAAGGGCTGGTTCCCTCTGGGAACCTGAAGCCGTTTTGTCTGGGAGGAGAAATTTCCAAACCAGGTCACATGACAGGCTCCAGGCTCCATGAAACAAAGGTTAATGCACCACAGCCCTCTAGATACCCCTGGGCACTGCCCTGCCTGCAGCCCCCAGCCCCCCGGGCACTGCCGGCCCACCCCACAGGCTGCCGTCTGGCCGGCTGGTGGCCACGGCCATTGGTGAAGCGAGAGACCGGGGAGTTCTGTGAGCCTGAGAGGTGCTGCTCCTTCCTGGCCTGGGTGAGCTGACGGCCGGGGGTGGGGGGGTAGGGGCAGGCAGTGTTAGCAAGGCCAGGGGCTTATGCAAAGTTACACGCCTTCCGTGGAGCACTGTCAGCCACAGGGTGACGGACGCCTCGAGCTGCTTGTGCCTGCGCCCTGGGCGTGGGTTCCCACCGCCGTGAGCCCAGGAGCTTCATGCCGACGCCCAGTGGAGGGGAGGAGGGAGCAGAGTCGGACGCTGGCAGGACCGGAGGGTGGGCCTCAGGGCGGGGTGAGTGGCAGATTTGGAAAGTGCCCCCCAAGACCAGTTCCCCAGGCGCTCGACCAGGTGGTGGTCGTCACGTGTCTCTCACACCCAGGCCCAGCGCAGGGCCTCTGGAGACGATGCCCGGGGACACCGAGAAGCTGCTTGGGGCTGACGGCCAGCGAGGCGACGGCAGCCCTGGCCCCAGATCCAAGCGCTGCAGGCCGGCACCCCAGTCAGAACCCACTGCTCTTAGGAGACGTGGGAACCTTGGAGTAGATCCCGGCAGGAAGTAACAGATATGATTTACTATCACAGCCACTGAATAGAGAATGAGGGTTTCTGTTACATTGTGGTTCCTAAAAGTTGCCATGAATCTCTCTAAGTGGGTTTCAATTTTTGAGAACTAAATCATATGCAACTCAACCGTTTCTGTTACTGAGTGAGAAAAACTGCTTTGGAACAGTGTGCACTAAGATTGGGGACACTCACACACGCACACGCACACGCACGCGCACACGCACGCACGCATGCACACGAGCACACACACGAATGCACACACACGCACGCATGCACACGAGCGCACACACGAATGCACACACACGCACGCGCACACACGAGCACACTGCGCACACACATGCACGCGCGCGCGCACGAGCACACGCACGCACACTGCACACATGCACACACGAGCACTCACGCGCACACGAGCACACACACACACTGCACACACTCGCACAGCAAGAGTCAGACTCACACACAAGCCCTGCGTCCCGGTGGAAAGTGTGCCAACAACACAGACACGGCTCCACGAGGAGGAGACCCGGCCATGCGGAGCCGTGAGCAGAGGGGCAGAACCCTCCCCGAGACGATCTGCTGCCGCCGCTGCAGACAGGCCGGTTCCATCGCTGCTGCCTCAGGGGAATCGAATGCAGGTGCCACCAGGCTCGCTGAGACGGGCACACTGGTTCCCACGGACAGAGCTTCTGCCCCAGCCTCCCACGGTCCATGGTGCGCATGCACACACACACAGGTCCATGCACATACACTCATGCATGTACACACACTGCGTGCACGTGCAGTCATGCACGCACATAGGCACACATGTGTGCACCCATGCATGGGCACACACAGACTTGTGCCTGTTCACAGTCTGTTTTTCTGTGAAGCAAAGGGCGCCCCTACGGCAAGTGAGTCAGAGAGACGTGGTAGCTTCACCTTGTTTCACATCATGAATCACAGAGAAGCTAAATCTGATGATGTTGGAGGCGGCCCAGACATGCCAGTCCCTGCATGAGGCACGGGTGCTCGGGAACGAACTCGCCTGCAAACACGGCCAGAGGTTGTGGCAAATAAAGGTGCTGGCACGTGGGGAATAGGCGCGGGGGGGGAGGGGTGTCCATTCAGAAACTAACTAAGGGTGCCAGCTCTTCACAGAGCAGCACCGGGGTGCGTCCGGGTGAAACCCTCACCTGCCAGACTGGATGCCCAGGCCGCCTCTTCCCAGCATGGAAAGGGGAATGCGCGAGCCCCTCACCCAGGCCAGGGCTGGGCCACCTCCCTCCCTGTCCCCACCTCCCTCTGTGGGGGTGGAGCCGAAGCCGCAGCCTCAGGGGACCCCCCCCAACCCGCTCCAGGCCTGGCACGGGCTGTGTCTCCCTGTCTCCCCCGGCAGATGCCCACCTGTGGACACCTGAGCCCGGGTCTGGGGCTGCCGGTGGGACCAGGTGGAGAGGGTCATCTCCCTCCACAGAGGGAAGCCCCCCCGGCCCCCCGCCCCCGTGGCGTCCTGAAGGCCCCATCATTCCCAGGCAGCAGGCAGCCCAGGCCTCGGGCCTCAGGCGAGGGGGCAGGCGTGGCGAGTCCTCTAATCGCCACTAAGCAAGGCTTTGCTGATGACAGCGTTTGCGGGGTCTGCGCACACCTGGCAGCGGCGGCTGGACACCATGAGCCTCCGCGAGGAGCAGGTGCGGCGGTACCTGGACCAGAACCCCGGCTTTGCGGACCGGTACTTCGGGAAGACGCTGAGC